CTACTGCTACACGAGTTACTATTTAGAATTTCAAAAGTTAACTACCGCTGGTTGTAAAACACCCAAGTTTGACAATCTATAATTTTCATATTTCAAACCAGTTAGATCATTATTTAAAACCTGAAATCATTAAACTGACATTCTGTCCTAGTATAGGAATACAATTTACATGGAAAAACTGTTTATCATCAATAAATTGATCCCTTTATAATGTGGATATTTACTATAAATGTAGAAGAGAAATTTTTACAACCAAAAAAATAGATTAAGAGTTTGTTTTAAACACACACACACACAAGAAAGAAGAAGACAAGCTTATTTCATGTGAATTCAATTAGAAATGTAATATCTTCCGGTCGAATAAAACACACAAATCCACATAGAAATAAAGACAAAGAATGACTGGAGAGGAATAATCAATGATATTTCATTGACTATTCAGCATAATTATAAATTTAGTCTAGAAAAAAAATGTTTGTTTTTTTCATATCTCCATTTTCTACAAATTAGCTTTTTTGTTTATTCTCCATTTAGTTTCTTGTTTAAAAATAAATAAATAAATCATAATTGAAGAACTTTTATGCAAATTATAGCTATATTTATTTTCAATTAATGACCTTATTCTCAGTCAGTTACAATGTAGAACCAGGCATATATATATATATATGCATCGGTTCAAGTTGCCACACATCATTAACACAGTAAAATGAACATCGGATTCATAGAAGCAGTTAATTCAATATGACCTTATTCTAATTGAGAAATTCTAATAAACATGCCTGTATGATATATTATACAAATCTTAAAATCAATTAAATGCTCCATTCTGATTCAATTTAATAATTTTACATAATTTATATGTACATATTGTTCACTTTATGATTAATTGAACATTTATTAAGAACAAAAATAATCATTCATTCATGACTAATTTATTTAACATCCTATCAATTTATATCATGATTTATTTCTATTTATTAAATATTGAAGATGTAATCAACTTATCATAGTAATTTAAACAATTGAGATCATGAGTCAATTGAAGCTAGACCACCAATGTAAAACCTGGAAACACTAGACGGCCGTTTTGTCCTATTGTAGGACTCCTCAGCAGTGCGTATCCACGACCTCGCCTCGCGTCAGTTAAGTGCCTGGCGCGAGACTGACAGGTCCTGGGTTCGAATCCCGCGAGGCGGGGTCGTGGACACGTTTTGCTGAGGGGTCCTACAATAAAACGAAACGGCCATCCAGTGCTTCCAGGTTTTACATTGGTAGTCTAGCTTCAATCGACTCATGATCTCAATTGTTGAAATTACTACAATCTCCACAGAACCCCTTCTGATAATTATCATAGTAGGTATGAATAATATAAAACTTAGCATATTGTATCAAATATGCTAATGAATTAAAGCAGGATATCTGTATTCACAATGTTTTAAATTTTACAATGAATATAATAATCATAATAATGATAATCATATATAATTTACTTAATACCTTAACAATGTATTCATTAAAATTAAATACAATGAATTGACAGTGACTAGAATGGATAATTCATTTCAGAATGCCAATCAATTGTCGCCTATATTGTTTATTATCTAACAATAATCCTTATTCTTAGTTTCAATAAATTTATTAGACTTTCCATTGTTTAGTGATAATAATCATAATAATAATTACAGTGTAAAATTCCTTATTGATATTAATTCTAAAGAGAATATTTTGTAGATGATTGACAAGTAAGAATTGAATATACCAAAGTAAAACAAAGAAAAAGTGACATTTTAGTATGTAATTGAATTTTTCAAATAAAATTGTTTTGAAATGAAAATAAAGAATATAGAGATTTGTAGATAAGTATAAAAGTAAGTACTGATGATATATTGTTTAGAAAAACAATGAAAGATTTACAGTCAACAACAGTAGAATACTATGATATGATGGAAAGAAAAGTCAATTTTCGATTGATTTACTCATTATGAGTTATTGTTCAAGATTCCTTCCGTTTTGATTCAATGTAATGATTACTCAATGTAATATTTGTTCTCTTTTCTCGTATGATATTTTTATTCTGTATAATATGCGATATTCTTGTATTCCATGGACATGAACTATGCTCAGTATGTGATTTGTTATGACTCTAAGTATTTTTCATATATGTGATTTGATCCTAATTATTTATCGAAATGGGTGTACAATCAATATATAAATGAGTGTATTTTCTTACTAAAATCGTTGTCGTCTTCGTGCTTTGGGGTGGATAAATCATCACTTATACCAGTCTTTGTGTTCTTACTTTCGCGTCGTAGGAATTGCTGAGGTCCGTCGTTTCGAGTATAAGTGATAAGCGTTTCCGACATAACAATCAGCGACGACCAGATACATAAAGTAGCATTAAAAGAACCAAGACAAGAAGCACTCAAACGACAAGTTATAACATACTATACAAATAAAATGAAGTCACTTAACTTGATTGTAGATTTTATTGCATTATTATTACTATTATCGTTAATATTAATATTAATGGCTATATCCAATATTACATTTTTGGTACAATATTGAATTCTCAGCACAAATCATTTCAAAACGTTTTCTATTCTTATTTCTTGATCAACATTGACGATAAGTATTGAATGATCGCCAATTAGATGTTAGAAGTTCAGGAATCGATGTGTGAATAATGTCAGCAACCATAATGACTCTGATTGTGCTCTTTCGTAACTTGTACAGCGAAAGTTCGTAAACGTTTCACAAACGAACCTGAATAAGTTATGCAATTAATTGACATAATGATCTGTTGAAACAAACAAAAGACTGATAAACTGTTGAAATATCTAGACGTTAGGAACAGGTAGCCCAGATATTCAAGTAAATCACCTTAGAGATTATGTAGATGTGAAGTGAAGAGAAATGAACTCATTGGTTTATCTCAATATATATGAATTTTCATCTTAAATTAATCGCTCATTATCATATACATTTAATTAAGTTACAATATTTTTATGTTAGATATTATATACATAAATTATAGTTTAATTCACTGTTAGTTATTCCAGTGATTTCTGTCTTTTAAAATGTATTCATCATTTGGGACTTAGGGATTGTGAAAAAGTTCTGGTTAATATTTTAATAAGCTGACTGATTTACTGAAACAGTTTTAGTTGACCTAAACAAAATAATAATCTCATATTAAATGATTTTTAAAAAATACAAATGAGCTTTGTGTTATGGTGATGCATTTCAGTAGTATATTTTTTTGTTCGCAATTTTCCACACAAATATTTCTCATAGATACACTTTAGGCAAAATAAAAATTCCAAAAAAGTTGTCAAATGAATTTATGCTCATTAAAACTTAAGTTCTCAATAAGTCGAATTTCAAAACACATATCTTTACTAGTATATTTAAATTTCTCATATTTCTTCGTTGTAAACTGGAATAATAGACAAGACTGTTCTGACCATCCTTATGATTACATAAAATTATGTTGATAAGTTTAACAAAGCTGAAGTTATTATTGATTTTGTCATTTTATTTTCATTGTAATTAATCACAATGAAATTCTTGTAATGAATATAAATATATGCGGGTTGTTTTGTTTTAAATCATATAAAACTTGAAGTATTTAGTTGCACAAATAGCATAATTTCATTAGATATTTACTTGGGAACAATCATCAAGGCGTAATTTTCAAAATGTTTATTTTTAAAAAATGATCAATTCTTCGGTAAATCAATACACCCTTAACGAATTCCAAAGTTAATCATTTATTGGTTCTGCAAAACACCCTAATCATATGCAGAGATTGTGGAAATTATTAGATCTTATTGTTTAAATCACAGACTAATTTTAGTTAAACAACCAACGAAAACAAAGAAACACTGGACAGCTGTTTCGTCTTAGTGCGGAACTCCTCAGAAGTGTAAATCCATGACCCGTTGGAGATCGGACCCAGGAACTTCAGGTTTCGCGGTGTGGAGGCGCACCGCTAAAGAATGCGTATATTAGTACGATACAGTTGTTCACTAATTCCTAGTTTTCAATGATTTTTAGCTAGTATCAGTCAGTGGTGCAAACTATAAAATATTTTTATAATGTAGTCTTTATAAACTAGTTACGGAATAACAATGACATAATCTTTCCTTTCACTCAACACTAAATTATGAAATCGAATAATAATAAATCAATTTACCATGAACGTGTGAGTATATTGATAATTGTACCACACTTTTGTGTGCACATTACATATTGATCTATAATTCTATAATCTCCAAAAAAGAGTTTGAGATTTTCAACTTGACAGAGACGCTAAATTGTTTCATTTCTAAACTATATACATATAACTTATAAAGTTGATTCTATATGTGCCTAAACTCTTTAATATTCAAAAAATGAGCATTTACGTTGTATTCATTAGTAATGAAGTTAACTCAAGAAGAAGGAATTTGGTTGTTTTTTTTTCAAAAGATATATATTATTTCTTGTGTGCAAACATTAAACAGTTAATAAGAGGAACATCTATACATAGAAACAAACATAGGAACACAACATAGACTGATATCAACTCAATGTTAATGCTTTATTTAAAAAGCATTTTAAATCAAAACAGAAAAAGTTTCCAATAAACAGAATAAAAGAAAAAAAACGAAGAAAAATAGAACGAGAAAAATTTTATAGCAAAACAAAAAACAAATTTATAGGTCAAAGTGAATAATGTAGAAATATATATATAAGCACACCGGTGAGAGAAGAAAATTAGTACTGTGGACAACAGTCACTAATTATATAAAAACTATAAGTGATATATTTATTGAATGAGAAAACAACTTATAACAAATAAAAGGAAATAGTATAGTTGAGATGAGATTCTTAAATAATACATAGATATATTTGTATAAGTTCAAAAGATTTTCTTTAAAAAAATAAACACAGCAGTTAATTATGCGTACACCAGTATACAAATACATGAATATAAACAAAAATTTCAGTAATTCAATTCACACAGTCATGACTGTATTAGTTGGGAGATTCACAAGCACATTTATATCATTATTATTATTATTGTTATTATTATTATTATTATTATTATTATTATTATTATTTGATTCATTTAAATTGAGTGGACAGGCAGTATTCGTATTGGTATTAGTTGCTGTACATCGTTCAGCAGAATTAGCATAAATACGATCCCAACCGTATGGATGACGAGAACAACAAAAGGCATAACAATTCCATAAGAAACCCTAAAGGAATAAACATTCAAGGGAAGAAATAATAATAATAATGAATATATTCCAACTTATCATTACAATTTATATATTTATAAGAATGATTATTGATCAGCATCAAAATAAACACTATATTTGTACATTTTATATTGGGATGATTCCAAATCAACATTATATGAAGTAAATATTGAACAATCAGAGTAGTTGACCAAGTATGAAATTAACAATTATTATCAAATTCAACTGATTGCTGAATGAATACATAAATGCTTGTCGTATACAACAAATCTGTTGAATTGATGGGTTATAGAATATCGGCATAAATAAAAAACAGCTCAGTTGACTTCTGTAAACCTGGGCCAAACAAGATGAAAGCAAGTTGTCTTTTAGATTATCAAAGGGAGAATATACCACAAAACAGTTTTCTTTTAATAATAATCTATAGTTTTGAAGCATACTTTATGGTGTTCAATGATATGAGTAAGCAGTTAGAGTTTATGATCATAGATGTCTTCGGAACACTGACCACTTATTACAGAACAACCAAGTGAGTAATGTTCGGTTTAAGTGTATGACAGTAAGTAGATATGGTAATCTGGTTGAATAAACTTTTAATATTGATATACTGAAGTGGTTGAGATATGTACTGGATTTGCCGGGCTACTATCTACCCTCTAAACGTCAAAGGATTATATTGTAAGAATTTAAAACGTGGCTAGACCAATCTAAGAAGTCATCGACTATTGGTTTAAAAAGTGTCAAAAGATGCAGACTTCCAGTCTATGATCCACAGGATAACTTTAATTTATGAACGAAAACCTTTAGGTAGTATCGGTGGGAATCAGTCACAGTAATCCATGAGTTATTCATTCTCTGTGTACATATAAATCTATGTTACGTAATTCGGTTTCTTTAGAATTATATTAGTTCAGTTTAGGTTACCGTACTTATCTGCCTATCGCCACAGAAGCTATGGAATTACATTAGAAAATACTGTAAACCAGGGAAAACATATTACCAGATACGAGACGCCCTTAGTTGAAATACAATCCAAATACAATATTTCTTTAAAATATAATCCTTCAAGTAAAATCTATTTCGATTATCTAATGTTAATTAAACAAACAGTTGATATTTATTTATCTAGTTGTAGCCAATTCGTAAGACACTTGGGATTAACACTAAAAGGGTAGTATGAATAGTGGACGAAATATTTGGTACAAAAGACAACTACATGCTACATGGTGAGCAAGGTGAAAATTTTACAAAACTTCATTGCCATAATTCAGCTGTCAGACCAGTAGATCAAAAAATTGAGGTTTGATAGTTCAAATCCAAAAGGGATTAACTTAATACTCCATTCATCAACCATACGTAAAATATGTGAGTAACACAACTTGATAAACAATTCGAAACTCTAGAATTCATGTCGACTTTTCATCAAAGTAATTACGACAGATATCATCATAAATATCTCTACAACAAAACATAAAATGATACGTAACTTGAAATAATATCTTACCTGGTTGAAAGGATTTTCATCAGATTTTAAACTTTGTAAATAAGTAATACGATCATGTGCTACTGTTTCCCATGTTGTTTTATTGACTAAAGCTAAATAGATATGAAATCCAAGTATTACAGTAACCGGTACTCCACAAATAATAAGCATTACTATAAAAAATAAGAACATACTGTTGTTCTTGAACCAAATATTCCATTTTGATGCTTCAACCAATGAATACCTGAAATGAGCATAAATATATTGAATTTAGAAAATGATATAGGTAGATGAAAGTGTATACAACACGGATTACTTTCTTCATAAATTGAATATGCCCACAGTAAATAGACGAAATAGCTTCCAAAACATGAACTTATTTGATACAACAAAGGAAAAATATTAAAATGAACCAGTTTTTAAGTTGGAAATTTCATAACAAAATAACGAGTGACGATTGAAACAAATGGTATATACGTAAATATAGAGAATCACTATTAAGTAATATTATTTGAAAGCATATATACACCTTCATTCTTGATATAAAACTGCTATGATTTGAATCGTTAAAAAAAAACTAGTAACTATGATAGAATTTCATGAAAACTTCTTGATTGAATAAGATTTACATCTTAAAATGAACACTTTGTAAATACTAAGTATATTCTATCACCTAAGATAATTAATCGATAGGAGTGTTCAGTTCTAATGAAGTATTCAAACCTATCACCTAAATATTTCGTTTTAAATCACCATTATGTTCTTCACAAATGTTGTGTGACAAACAGATATTTGACAAACAGGTATTTGATGTGTTATATATATTTCCATACCCTTTATACTTACTTCGCTGTCAATTAATAACTGTTGACTAATATATGTACTAGTCAGACAAATCGTGCGTTCTTGATTTAAGCTGTGTTTAAGCCTAGTAGAATAGTGCTGGTTGGATTATCAGGCATAGAGAGAGTGAATCGTATAAGCAGATAAATCATCCAGTGTTTGTCCTAAGCAATTTAATTTCCCACTGGTGAAAAGAAATACGGGCGTTATCTCAACAACTATACGAATCAAATGGTGTAAGTTACAAATAATAGTAATAATTAATGGTAATAATATGTACACACTCAAATAATCGACTTTATGTAATTTTTTCTATACAACAATTCATAAAATAATCTGTTGAAACAAACCAGCAGTTTATGGAATTAAATCCCAATGACAAATAAATACATCGATTCTAAAGATGCAGATAACGTTTCCGTTTAGAATGAAGGTGAAAGATAAAAGATTATTGATTAAAAATATTCCTACTATGATAATAATAATAATAGTAATAATAATAATAATAATAATAATAATAATAATAATAATAATAATAATTTGCATTAATATTTGAAATAATCTCAGAGATTTAAATTTAAATAACTCTAACGTTTCGTCCAACAAACCTAACTGGGTTTCTTCAGGATAATAATCAGAATCAAAATCAAAGAATATTTAACTTTTTACTTCAGTAAGTAGGATAAACATGAGTCAGTTAGATGTGAATCATGTGAAAAGTTCACAATGTGAAAAGAAATGAATAGGTGATATATACATAAGGTGATATTTGCCTTGTGTGTATCAGAAGTAAGAATAAAAGTACAAATTGAAAGTATTTTCGAAACGTCAATGTGCATGTAAAATGAAAACTAAATACATTATTGTAGTGATAAAATATTCAAATTAATCTCTATCAAACAACGGTGAATGTGAAATAAACAGGTTGGGTAGACAGAACACAATTACGCGTTCATGATCATTTGTCAAGGGGGTGGTTAGTTCAATACCATCTTTCCTGTTCAGGCTGTTCTTACTACCTCATATATATATAGCGCTTCTGCAGTCAGTCTTTCTCTATGCATGCCAAACTCTTTCTGAAGTATTGTTATCCCTTCGGAGTTGATCTTGTGTCCTGTTTTCAACTCACGTAACGCTATTGCAGACCTATTCTCAAATTATTTTAGATCAACTAAGGATTTGAGAACATGTTTCAAACACAGTCTGTGTTCCTTCAACTTAAAATTCAACCGTCTAGGTGTTTCTATTACATTACATTACAATCATGACAATTGATCTCATAGACAACATTCTGTTGTTCTTCCTTTGAAACCTAGATCCAAATCCCACCAACGCCAATCTTATGGTATCACTGGCTCGAAAATACTTTCGTATTATGTTTGTTTAATATCCTCCCATGCTTCTTCGCAGTGTGGGATGACCACGATGTACTTTCATTATTTACGTATACACTCTAATTTAGTTTTTCTTTGGTTTTTAACAATTTACCTTAAAAACTCTTTAAGGTAATTATTTGCCTTAAGTGTAGACAATGTTGCATTCAATTCAATTGGCTGGTCTTTTTTCTCTGTAATGAGATTACAACTCCTGTCCAGTAAATTTTTAACCACTTTGACCTTCGTTCTTGGTTAGCTTAATGTTATCCGATATGGTGCTCATATTTTCAAATATTCCTCCCAAACTATTTCGTTTAGTGATGACAAAAATTTCATCTGCATACAGTAACCAAACTTTGAGTGGATTTACAAAAATGTTGATCATACTGGTTTCTAAGTAATGCATGAATAAGTACACTACAATCGGAGAAAGTGGAAAACCCATTGCCACACATTTCTGTTTGCAAAAATCTCGAAATAAGAATAAGGTGAATCGTAAACACAACCCCGAACACTTAATAAGCTCAGAAGGATCTAATAGGTATTGTAGATTTAAATGTGTCATATTCCAAACAACCACAAATAACGTCCGATGCTCCATTGATAGGTACATTAATAAATAAGGAAGAAATATCAAAACTTGCCATCAATTCATCCTCTACCATGTGGATGGTATCAATATTATTCTTGAATTCAGCAATATTTAACTCCACAATTATTCAAATTTTCATATGATTTAAATATCATAGCTTAGTATTTCGTTGGTTTGTATGTAGGTGAATTCGTTAAATCAACCACTGAACTTAGCGGTGTATTATTCTTGTGATCTTTCATAGTCCACAGAATCTACAAGGGTTATAACTTCTGGATATAATGTGAACCACAATGATGGTCCTAGTTTTATTTTAATCGACTGTTCAATTTTGCTTGCTTCAGCGTTAAGTTTATTAAGAATAGTTCATCATTTCGTTTTTTTAATTAATTGAAACAAGACATCTAGATGTTCTCTGGTCCTGTTCTCATAGACTGATCTGTTCATCATGACAGTCGTGTTCCTCTTATCTGCCCTCGTAGTGATAATTGTCTTATCACTTCTTAAATGTTTTAATGCATTTAATTCATCTTCAGTTAGATTAGAAATGTGTGGTTTTGATGTAAATCAGTGGCTGTAATTTAATTCCTCAAGTCATTCGCTGATTCATTAGAAATGCAATGCAATCCCGGTTTAATTGCAAGTATGACATTGAGCGGTGATAATCGTGGTCTATTTATAATGAAAACAAAACTCTTTTTAAGCAAAGATATTTCGTGAGCACATAGATTTTTGTTTGATAAATTAACGATCAATGTGTTCAAATTCGATGTGTTAGATTCATCTGCAGTCTGTTGAACTTTGTGGTTTGATGAATGTTTCAGCAATTTTTTTAAACTTTCTAATCCACCGCTGTTTTGACGATTGATAAGAACACTGTTCTCGGTGTTTAGGGAATTCATTTAAATTTAGTCCTCATCAAGATCAAGATCATCAGAGAATATACAATAAAAATAATAATAAGCACAGGTGGATTGTGGCTGACAATGGAATCCAGGACGCAAGTTTCGTCTTATTCGAGACTTGTCAGCTGGATTTACCTGCATCCGAGTCTATGTCTACTTCGGGAATTGGACTCAGTGCTGTTCTTTTCAAACCCCATTGTGTTATCCACTTAGTTGCTGGGCCCCGGAACGGACAACAACTCTGGGATGCAGACACATCCGACTGATGAGCACTAAATAAGACGAAACGTGGGCCCTAGATTTCACTGCTAGGCATCATCCATCTCTGCTTATAATGCTTGGGATTTAATGGTAATCTCAAGGCGATTCGCACACGATGTACATATGCCAAGAAAGGGACTGATCGATTTAGGTTCAAAACATCAATTAGAAAATTCAAACAACCAATACATATAATAACAATATTAATTCTAAATAACTTACCAACAGTAATACAAACACCACCAAATTGAAATAGTTTGACAAAATAGAAATACGACAAACGCAGAATGATTTCGTTCCCCAATACAATTCCCAACCCATGGACAATGATGATCAAACTTCAATACACAGCGATTACAATCTGGACAATGACGACAACGCAATGGTTGCTATAATGTTCAAATTTCAATATTAAAATGAACACATGGTGCTTAATAAACAGAAAATCACTAATTTTAAAATGACTAATATACAATACTAACTTGAATAAGTTTATCCGTTGAATAAAATTATGCAACTAAGATACATATTACATATTTTGGTAGAAAATCACGTAGTGTATGGATTGACATTAATTCACTAGGCATACAAATTCAACTAGTTTTCAAATAATAAATGAAATGAAATATTGTGTATTTCAACCATAAATAAACAAAAATACAATATGAAAACAATAGTGTTCTGAGATTGATCGATTCATGATTTAAATGAAATTCAATAATCTCTACAAACCAAAACTGAAAATTATTATGTGCTCATTGTTGACTAGTTTCGAGGACTTCTCGAAGTTTTAATGAGAAACCACGACTAGCGGAGTTCGACTGTGTTGAGTGTGAAACATCGCAGATTGGTTATTGGTATAAGTTAGACATTAGAGCCGTTAGATGTCGGCTCAGTGATCTAGAGGTTAAGCGTTCGCGCACGAGACTGAAGGTCTTTAATTCCAGCCCCGCATGCAGAATCGTAGATGCGCACTGCTGAAAAGGTCCATACTTGGATGAAACGGGAGTCCAGTGATCCCAGTCTTTAAATCGTAGTCTAACGTTAACCGATTCATGATTTCAATGAAAAAGACTGATGATTAGAGGAGTTTTGAGTCTTTTTTCTGTAAGTAAGCATTTAGTTCCATGTTTTATGCATTAAAATAAATGACATTACGTAAAAACAAGCATAGAAGTAACAGACTGGCATATAACAATGTAGTAAGTAATTGAGCATAACAATGTAAATCGGTTTAAAAGAACAATACAGAACACTTATTAACAATGTAAAGAGATTAAACAGTGTTAACAAAAGAAAGTAAGACTTTAAAATGAAATAAAATGAAAAATAGGCAGAAAATCGATATGAAATTTAGAAAGAAATTAAAGTTGTAGATAACTGTGGTAACATGTGACGTTGTAAGCCACATTTTTTACCGTGTACGATTTCTGAATTCATTTAGGTAACTGTATACTTGAGTATAACGATCGAACCAATATTAAGAAAATTTACAAATTTGTATAGTGACATTTAGTCATCTTGGAAACATACCTTTCTTTAATCAACGATATATTTTTAATGGAATATAGTAAGATATTCAAAAAGGTGACTTTATTTAAACTGATGATTATATTGTAAAAAGTAGTTTAAGTAATAGATACAGCGAGATAGATGTTATTTCACTAATCTGAATATTTTACAGAAGATTAGTGTATTATTGCGAGAAAAAGAAAAGTTAGCCTATTTTAAGCAATGAAATGTTTGTGAATATCATTTACTAAAAGCTAATGTAAAAGTTGATGATTTAATGGTTTAAGTAAATTTCTATCAAACAATTGAATAACAGAATTAAATCATCCTTGGACTAATTCATTTCTTGATTGATTTAGAGACATTTGAAACTTCTGCATCTACTCCACATAGGATTCAACTGAAAATCCACATTTCAAAAATATGTCCTTAAAAAACCATTTGTGTCTTATCAAAGAATCTTAACGGAATATGATCTGTAACTTAGTAGAACAAGAATTCGATACTGACAAAAATCAAATAACTAAACGATGAAAAACTTTCAAGACAAAATCAACCAATAGTTTTTAAACAAAACTGCTTGGATTTTCGCGATATTCATTGATTTTAACAGAAACTACCAAATGAAAAGTCTGAAGCATAGTACAATGGATTAATATTAGGAATTCATTTTTCCTGTATGAGAAAATATAAGACAATTTTAAAACAAAGAAAAAAATCTCCCATTTTTATATATCAAAAGTATGGATCGTAATAACAACATGTTCTTACTCCTCCTTTTTCGTTAAATTACAATTAAAGATTATAATAATCTGTAGAAAGGCATATATTGTGCTATTTTTCCCCTGCAATTTGTCTAACTTTTAAGAAAATTGAAAAAGCTCTAAGTAAAATAATTGATTCACCTAATTAAATCATGTCTAATGAGTCAATTAAATCATCTAATCAAAATTTAAGTTTTTGATTGAGATCATGAGCCTATTGATGTTAGACCATCAATGAAAACCTGGAAGCACTGGACGGTCGTTTCGTCCTATTGTAGGACTCATCAGCAGTGTTCATCCACGATCCCGCTAGCGGATGGTCTAACATCAATCGGTTCATGATTTCAATCAAAAACTTAACAATCTCCACAACCCCTAAACTGACAAAATTTAAGTGTTTATTTTCTAATAACTGGGGTCTAAGTAAGTTAGTTGTCTATGATCATTATTTAAGGCATCATTGAGATAATATCAATTGTACTTTATCTCGATCGAAGTAAGTATAAGTAGCAGATAATAAAATACTTATTGCAAGGAGTTGTTATTCTAAGAATTATTTTTCTATAAAACTACTTTTTCACCTAAATCAATAAACGAACACCAACTTGTAACAACATTAATCATATATGCACAGTGTCATTGTTAATCTAGAAATAAAACAAATAAAATGAAGTACTCTAGATAAATTCACGCACCCCCTCGGTCAATACAAATATGAAAATTAACAAAGATAATAAAACATTCGGCATATATATATATATATATATATATATATATATATATATATATATATATATATATATTACTTATGCATGCCATCTGCTCAGATAATGGTAATAATAATAAATATAATAATAGTAATAAATTAGGAGTCAATAGGATCGAAGTACTTTCACTGAGAGCAATTCATGTGATATATTGAAAAAAGAAGCACTACAATACACTAAGAAACATATATTAGGTGTATATATCTATATGAATTTGACAAGTTGGTAGATATTGAGAATGAAAAGGCTTATACACTATAAAATTTTAAAAAAAACACTATTGATACTAATTGTTAAATTATAAAATTAGTCAATAGAATGCTAATGATTGATTTGGAGTTAATTCTATCGTGAGACTGGAAAAACTATTGAAAACTAAGAAGTACAAGGATAGTTGCCTTGACCAATACAACATTAGAAATAAATGAAGGCTATCTACTAGTCGGAAACTTAATTTCAGGGTTTTCTGTGGACTACTTTCAACTGGGTAGCATATTTTATGTTTGCTGGCTTTTGATGGTCTTCAAATTTCGCCAATTAATAATACCCAAAAGATCATCTAGGTTAAAAAAATTTTTAGCGACTTTATATATCTCGTATATTGTCATTGAAAGATAGTTAGAATCCTCTTTCTTTTATCATGATACAGTTGAAAATAGCTCAGCAATATATGATTGAACTTAAGACATCTTGACAGAATGAGGTTTGTAACTTAGTACAAAATCGACACCACGTCTTATCAAAACATAGATAGTTAAACGATAAATTTTTTATGAAGAAATCTGAAGACGATTGTTTTAGGAAATTCACTTGAACTTGTGTGTCAATTTTAATTACTTCATGGCAACATTTGTTATGTGGCACTGTTCGAATACAAAACGGATATCGAATTGACAATGAGTGAATAACATGAATACAACCTCCACAAACTGCTTACGCTTACTAGAATACATATATCATTGTGTCAATTAAAGAATATCTTTCAGAATATTGTACAGATATACGGTTTCTAGTCTGTAGATGTTGTATACATGAAATCAAACACTGTCTATATAACAAAGTGGGGGTTTAGTTAGAAAGAAATTTCGATACTGAGTAAATTTAACATAATCAAATTAATACATGAGCTAACTGCAATTTTTAGTCTAACAGGAGTTAAATCTTTCATCTTTCTATTTGGAATTCATTCAGATAGAAAATATCTACGGTTGGATGTACTCAAAGCTTTGATTTTAAAAAATCTTTAGAACTTGAAGATATTCACAAACTGTTTAACTTAGTCCTACTTTTATAATAAATTCAGTTCAGTTTCCTTTGTTTTTCGTATTGCCATACAAAAGTTAAGTAAGTTGGATTAGAAATGTAGACCATAGCATGCTGGATCATTGGCTTGAAGGTTGTGTTCACGAGCGAGATAGGTCTGGGGTTTGATCCCCGCGATAGGATCTGAGATCCCCAAGGCTGGGTCCCAAACCAAAACAGGGTAGCTATGCAGCACTTCCTCGCTATCAATGATGGTCTAGTCAAGATCACTTCGTGATTTAAACTATGCTAACTGGGTTCACTTTTTTATACTTAAGTTCACGAATGTTTTAAAAATGAACTGTCATCTAGGTGTTATTAAGAATTTATAACTTCCCCTTGTTAATATAAAGGACTGTCGCTGATCATACTCTACTGCTATATATATATATATATATATATATATATATATATATATATATATATATATATATATATATATATATATATATATATATATATATATATATATATATATATATATAACTGAGTACAAATTAGAAGTAGAATCCAAGATGCGCATTTCATCATATTTTGGACTTGTGAGCTGGAGTTAATTGCATCTAAAAGATAATAGGTTGGAATCTCATTGAGGGATTATCAACACTGGGATCCAGGTACATTCAATTGATAATTCCCAAACAGGTCAAAATGGGCATTCTGAATTCCACTCCTTGTCACTACCTAACTTCAATCACCTAAGTAGACAAGCAACTAATAAAAGTGAAGAAACCTATTCTATAATGGGCAATGCATCAACCGGCAGTAAAATATGATTAAATATGAAGAACAAACATTGCAACATGACAATCATTTCTCACGTGGATTAAATCCTATATTAATAGAAATAGTCTTACCTCTAGAAGACAATGATTACAGAATCTTACAGGAATAGATAAATTAACTAGAACTTCACAATCTGCATTCATTTTAGAGCATAAATTATTTGGCCAATCCTTTTTCAAAGTCATAGAGAATTTATTTGGTTTTGTTTGAACAGTGTTATTTTCTTCGATTGTACATTGAGTTTCAGAGCGATCAAGTTGACGTTGAAAGCATGATTCTAACTGTGAATGATTCTGGTCTAATGTCAATTTCTTATAATTTATATCGGTATCATATTCACTAACATACATAGGTCGTTCATCACCAGAATCACTAGCTAACGAGATATGACCACGTCGATGTCGAAACCATCTAGCCTTTAAAGAAACAAAACGAACCGACATAAAAATAATCAAAACAAAAGATAAACAGCACATGATTATACTTCCATGTGTACACAAAACATGCATACAGAAATTATACAGAACTCCAAAAAAACATATTTAGAAAATCGGACTAATTTCTAACGATTTCAGAATACAAACAATGATATGGAGGTAATAAAAAAGGAATAAATTCGATTTCGTTGAAATGAGCATTGTTAAAGTGCACTCTAATTTACGGGCAGTACAGTAAAATACAGATTTTCAATTTTAAGCAAACATCAAAACCTTGAAATACCGCACCAAACTTCACTGAAGCACAGAATATACCTGTCATTTAGCATAACATTAACCTGGTATCTAGTATTAAGTATATCACATATATATGAGTGGTTTGTGGTGACTTATCAATTTGTAGTTTATCAACATCAAAGGACTTTAACTATGCAATAAATATAGTTGAATCAGTACAAAATATATCGTAAATAATCAGGTCCAATAAAGAAGTCATTCAGTGTAATAATTATAAGAATAAGTATGCAGCCATAATTATCCCAATTATAGATAATCTGGAACAAACTATAAATCTACAACATCTAGTAGAAATCCGAAAAAAAGTGAAAAATAACCACAATTTCCTAATTATCTTGTCTTATTGTTACCTTTTCAGCAGTCAGATAACCTGGATCAATGCAACTTGTCAAACCATAAGTAATAAGCGAAATACCGAGAAAGGTAAAGAAGCATACGTAATGAATGAAATCCTGTTCAATGAAAACAACTCGATGTAGTTCTGAAAAATGAATAACATAAAGAACAATAATTTGACTCATAAAAATTAATAAATGATTAATATACTAGAATTATGAATATTTTATTTTAAAAAATAAACTTGCTAAACAATATACATTCTTAAAGAGGAAGAATGAATGTAGAAAATCTCAGCGAATGAATTTGTAGTAAATTCAACGTTTTGCCTAGCAATCTGGTTCAAGCTTTTTCAAGGAAATATAATCAAACATCAAAATTATCGAATAAGATATGTCACACATCAACTCGGAGCCCAAATATTGTGAAACGATTCAATCAAATTTAGACGAAAGTTCTTATTTAATAGATATTCTTATAAAATCTACAACAATTTATATTAGACTATAATCTTAGTTGAAATGATAACACATTTTCAAGATAAATACGAATGACAAGAATAAGAAATGTCACCAAAAAATGACCTACTTCAACTTAATGAAATATGAACAGTTGGGAAATTCATTCTTTATCTAAAACAACTGAATATTATTCCAAAAAAAATTAACAACAAAAACTCATGGACTGGTAAAGATGAAGTTATGATTGAACTGTTAATTTTGTAAAAGCTAGATGTAAGCAGATCAAGATATAACATAAATAAATAAATATTTGTCTAGACAATATGATTCTATACATCCTTATTAAAGATCAAGTAACCGCATTAACTCAGTAACTCTATTCTTAATGTTATGATTTTCTGTCTATGACACTATAGCTAATTAATATTGAAGAATTCAACTAATGAAAAATGGTAATAACTTAAAGGTATATCGTACACAGGAAGATTTTGCTGTCATTTACAAAGTAATCATTAGCTTCTAGTCTAATAAATAAACAATGACTATGTTAAATGAAGTTGAATTTAACTTATTCTCTAGTGAACTCCATCAACATAAAACATGACAGTTTTAAACTGCAATTGTTTAAAGCAATCTAATCTAAATGATGGAACAAATCGACAAGTAAAATAATTGTATCATCATTAATTTAAAATCGAAATCAATACACTAAGAATTGGATCACATAAATGGTAACAGATATAAATATGTTTTGTGTAACTCACCGGATTCACATAATAATAAAGGCAATAATACACCTAGACAAATGGTAATATGAAGAAAAGGAATGAAATAACGTCGATGAATTCTTGCATATTGATATAATTGATAGCACATTATCGGCTACGTATGAAAAACATCATCATGTCACTAATTAAGTAATTGAAATATCTGAAAACACAAAACAATAGAAAGAAATAATGACAGATCTTATGGACTAATATTTTTTTATGAAACTTCTTAATATACTTGAAACAAAACGAGACCACAGTACAATAATTATGATAAAAAGGAATTTTGACTGAGTGCTTATTTTAAATACATTCATCAAAGACAACAACAATCCTATGAACGTATAATTTGAAGTTATTTTCACTGTACGTGTTTGAAACAGTCATAATTTAACAGAAATAGGCTAGATTATCAAGTCAATAAAAGGAGGAATTTTAAACACATACTGCTATTTGTGTAAGGATTTATACTGTCAGAATCCGATTGATCGAATTACACAAGTAATCTATGTGAATTTAGAACTTAACATGCCTAACGATGTTATAATATTACATGCTAATAAGACCGAAGATAATAAAAGGATATGTTGACTGTTAAATAAAGAATAAGCTGAGAAACTATGCTGGATTTAGAACTCGACTGACCTGACCAACTTCTCTGTCCAAGTACTTCCACTTCAATTACCGAAACATTCTACGACAGAAAACGTCGACACTATCGTAAAGTGAACTTCCATATTAGCTCTTGTAATAAAAAAATCAGTTTAATTCGTTGGACAACTTTATAAATGCTTTATCCATTGTTTAAACAAAATAACTTCATAACTATTAAATTTAACTACTAAAGTAACCGTAGTTTTCTTTTTTGGGTTCACCAGTGGTAGAATTTTTCCAATATCTACAGTAGGTAATGAATTATTCTTGCTGCAAGCACTAGATGTCGACACGTCAAAAAAACGTATTTGTAACCTTGAGAAAGTGGATACCTACTTCAGAGAATCGAATACCCACCACTTAATGCTGCTATTCGACTTTGAGCTCTACAATCTACAATTAAATTCTTACAGAAATGAAACGTTAACGCTGATCAATCCCTGAACAGTGGCCAGTGTCATTTTGTCTAGTCCTTAGTGGTGACCAATATCTATCGATAGCATATAGCTAAAAATTTAAAGCACAACAATTTGACACTTTATGCAATAACCTGGAAATAATGCGAATTCTGTAATTCATTGAAAACAACTAAATCCGTAAAGAAATACGTTAAAACTGTAGAATCAGTAGTCAAGTTTCTAATTAATAAATTACCAATTAAACTGATCAAACTATTTATACACTTAATTGGAAATACCTGCACTTTTGCGGAATTTCTATGGCAAGATATCACGACCTAGTAAGTGGGCTTCTAAGCGTTAAAAATTTGCTAATAAAGATAACCCACTACCAAACAGACAAACCGGGTGACTCTTATTCTTTGGAGTAAAATAACTAAGAGATCAAAATGACTGTAGCCGCCTCAAATCAATACTACAACGCTAATCATGAGCAAGTTTAAACTGAATTTGTAGTAACCATATCCTGCCTCCAGGTCATTAACTTTTAAATGAAAATAATATAAATCCAATCCTGCGAGAGTTGAGCAATCTGATAAGCTTAAACTAAAATAGACAGGTTGATCTAATTATTTTCTGGAATGAAAAATACTTTTGTATCACAATTGATGGATACTCAATTTTAAGTTTTTTTTGACATTCAGAGGTCTTGATTAATTAGGGAGCCAATATCACCAACGAACTCAGAACATTTGAATTAAAAGACAGAAATTTCTGACACAACCTCTGTCACCTATTTATTTAATATTGATAAAACGATAAAGCTAGGGAATCGACAAACTGCACATTTGTAACCCTTTGAAAATACGATTGATCAGACTTGTAAGATGATCCAGCTAACCAATACTTCTAAGTTAACTTATTTAGCCCGAGATGTTACCTTAATGTTTATTCAACGGGTATATATGGTATGCGGTCAGATTCAATTATACATACTTCCCACGGTAAATCAAACCCTACAACGGCATCCCAAACTTACTAACAACCAACTGATCAAATTAATGTAAACAACGACTTTGTAAAGTCAATTAGGATTGTACAACAATTTACCTTGAATTTGACGTTTTTAATTAACGTCTAAAATGAAATTTTGCAAAACTACAAAATTCACTTTATATCCTATTTCAAGACTACGAGAATTTCTTATGTTAAATTCAGGTCATAGATAATTAGATGAAAAAATTTAACTCTTTATTTACATGTATCTTGTAATAAACCTCCTTTTCTTTTAATAAAGAAATAACTTCAAACTTTTTCTCTTGTTATCAAATCCAAAAATAGCATTCCTTTCATGTTGACATGAAGACATAGTGACAGATGAATGATCACACTTGTTACTGTAGCACAACCAGATTAGAAATCACATCATATGATGGACATTGTACATCACAGTAGAATATCCATTAGTTGTAACTACTGTGTTGATTAAGTCAAAAATATAGATGTTATAACAGGTCAAATGACTGACTACAGAGTATATACCATAAAAATGGCTAATATCTGGGCTGTGTGATGAATGGTGGTTTAGGTAGACATCCAATAAACTGGGAAGACAACTAACGATAAATAATCAGTTACGTTACATAAGAAAAAACTCCAGAAAAACTTGTAAATCATCAACAAAATTCACATTAAATCCAATACACACATTATCATCTGTCAATCATTCCAAAAGAAAGAATATTAATCTTGAACAGACAAACACAATGCAACAGAGAAATTTAAAAAAAGAAACTACAAATGAAGTGTTTTTATTTCACTTTTTCCTTTGGATCTGCTTTATCTATTATCTTCCGCAAAACACTAGACAGTAAAACGAGTATCCATCTTTAAAAAAATAACATGTAACAACTACTCAACAGTCTATGGCGCGAACACACGCGCATATTTATAAACAAACAATTCAAATATAATTCATATTAAAAATAAAAAGCCAGTAGATTAAATAGGATCAGTTTATCACTCGAAAATAATGTAAATAAACAACTTTAAAACTGATAATAACAATGATATTAACAATTAAACATAAAAATCGTTCACTCTTTTTTGTCCAAAGGTTTTGTTTGTTAATCAAGCAAACACAAAGAATTTCATTTTGTACAAGAAAATGACACAATATGTAGTTAAGGGTGTAAGTTTGTGTGTATGTACTTATAGAGGACTTTCAGTTGAGAAATTTACCTAGTAAAGTGGAAAATATGAATATGAATCAAGGTATACCAAATAGTAATCCTTGTAACTGTGCTAAGTCAATCCCAATAAAAACAGAAGAGTGACGCAATCTTTTATCTACGAACGTACACAGGTATACGCACACATACATAGTCATGCCAAGAAAATATGAAATATACTCGTTTGTATATATTATTTGAGAAAAAAATCACCAGTGTAGTTTTTACACACTGACTGGACAATAAATTTACCTTTTACAACACACTGCATTTTTGTCATTATGCGCAACTTCTACTTTTAAAAAGAGGAGAAGGGTAAAAAAAATTTACAATATAAAAATTAATAACAATAAGGAAACCAGTTCAGCTCACAGCACAGATTGAACAAAATAAACTTGTGAGCATTTCGACCTATTCGTGTGTATATGACATATGAAAAGCGAAAGAGAAAAATAATTTTGGAAAATTTCTTCTGTTTAACTCTTTATCAAATACACAAATAACTGAATAATAATTAGAAATAAATACAGAAATGATGGGTTGAATCGTTGGACATATCAAAATAAATGAAGTTACACATTTTATTAGATATAGAGTAAATTGTTGGAAAATGGATGATAATTTTGTTTATATTTGTAGAATAAAATAATAATATTAGTAATAATGGGGTTTGATTGACGATCACATTTCCTTCGGCAATGGTGGAGGTATGAAATCTTTTGATTGGTATGATTGTGTAACGAAGTAATACGCTAATAGAATAGCTATAATCAAAACAATTATGCTGATAACCAGTATGATAGGATTGTACAGTGTGACTGAAAAAAAAATTACAGAAATACGAAACTCGTAAATGACTATGATAATAACAAAGGTAAAAGAAAAAAATGTTTATCAGTGCATCATAAAAAATTTCATATATATAGTACAGTCATGTTAGATCTATCATACTAGACTCCATTAACCAGCTTGCCAGCTAGTTAAATCATTCCAGTGGTTGAATGCGCTCTAATCAGATATTTAACGTTCAATAGTTGATAAAACAGTACTACAATTGAAAGTATCTATTGTTAGACAAGTTCTTGCATATATGAGTGGCATTTTATGCAAAGCAAGGCTTATTAATTAAAGCCCTTGACTTTCACAACTAACAGGTTGCAAGTTTCAACCATAAGTCAATGACTTCAATTTACATAACAGGATAGTATTTCATTAGTCTTCTAACATAAATCTTCACATAGCATATAATAAATTTGACATAAATAGACAAATACCTTCCTATGGCAAAGCATAGAATTTGACGCATAGTGACAAAATTGACTTACATGGACTAGAAACAGGAACGGATTCAACCACTTCATCTATCAATTCAGATTCAGAAAATTCATCATCAGCACTAACTGTGTATGTGTGGATAGAAGAAACGAAAAGAGAGTAACAGAAATTGTATAACAATTAAAGGGTTTTAATACTTATGAGCTGTAAAAACAGATTTATTCATGCTTGTAAAAGTACCACATAGTATGAAAAAAGGACAAAGCTAACAACACGTATTATCTACTTCGTTACTGATAGGTGATTTACTTTAAGCGATTCAGTGATGAAACCGTTAAAACAAACAATGCAATAAATTATACGACATACAACTTTATTTACTAGAAGACTTTGTTTGTGTAAGCATAATTCAACAGTGACAATTATGTCGCCATTCAGATACTTAATAGGATGTCATTTTAACCCGCACCTGCATAGTTTATAATTGACTTTTCTTTGGTCATATTAACTTGATACTACTTAGGAATCCAAACACAAGAGAGAGGTCAGAAGCGGGATTAAAGGGAGTTGTACAATCTTGCTATTTCCTCACTAGTTTTGTTATCGATGACATTCTGGGAACAACTTTGCATGAGGTACTTAATGGTGCGGATCTGTTTATTGAGAAAATGAGTAGACGTATAACATTGGTTTATTGTGAGATGATAAGCAACCTATCAGTTGGGAATCAGTGTCCATAAGTATGCCATGGCATTCTTACCTTATAAATCCAAAGTATTTTAATAAGACGAGCAGAAGCCTGTACCCGAAATCGTTTTGTAACGATCGTTCAGAAGTAGTGGAAACGTTCGTCAGTCAGCTACAACGTAGGACCAGGCATATATATGCATCGGTTCAAGTCGTCATACCTCATTAGCACAGCAAGATGAACACCGGATTCATAGAAGTAGTTAGTCCAATGGTGGTAATGTATAAAAGAAAGATTGTATATAAAGATGTAGTACAGGAACGTTCGTACATCTAGGTATTTGTGTGTGTTGGTGATAGTTTGACAGATAAAATTAATCTACGCATAGTAAAATCCAGAAAGAATCATGGTAGTTTGGACCATCTTTGGTGCAATATTAGGTCGAGACAACGGTGCACTAATCAGAACAATTTTGGCCAATGCATGTATGAACATTGCCCTCTCACCTGAGGACGTCCGATGGCTTTGTTTTCCAATAGTTATCACTGGAGGATAGCTCACAGCCGGTGACATCATTATGTTAGTAATCAAAAGGTTCAGAAATCTGTTCGGGTTCAGTGACAATAAGTTGATCAGTATCACTATCATAAAATACTGACTTCTATGCCTTAATTAAGTTCCGTATGCCAGTGGCTCCCATATCGCGTACTAATTGCTGACGCTGTGACTAGATTAACAAAGTAGAGGTAGCACCGCGGTATGAAAGATATCTAGAACTGAGAGTTTCTGTCCATCACAGCTCCACAGTTAGGGTCCTAGAGAAGGTAGAGTCTGGTGCCTTGATAATGTTACTAAATATAGTTCGGTAAACCTCGCAGTGGTGATCTTTTTGTAGTGTTTTTAACTAACATTCTTCATAAAAAAGAGATAATCTCCATATTAATTGTATTTTTTCACAGAACTGTATCTCATATTAAACGTTATTATTGTTATTGTCCACTAATTATCATTTCATTTTTTGATCGTGATTTCCTTCTCTCATTTAGTTCTTCACAATATTATTACTTTATTTTCATGAAATATGTATTTTCGGTGTCCGACTGTAACAAAATTAACGTGCATTAAATAATAATTAAATCTCAAGCTAGTGATCGAAAGGCTTATTTGATAGCAGATGAGTCTTCACTGCACCATGTGAACAAAGTAGGTTAATGTTCCGTTCGTTAAGACTTCTGGAAACCATGAGAATCATGAATGTGGTATACGGTATATTCAAAAGGGATACTCTGCAGCAAGTAATGTCTCTTTTTAAACATCAGGGGATTACTATCGAACTCGTACTTCTTGAAAACAACCCTGCCATCCAAAAGCAATAGACAGGGATGTTTCAAAAGATGCCTCAAAAAGTCGACTGCATGAAAACTTCTCCATAGAAAGAAATGAGTTTTCTACTCTGTTGTGCTGACATTTGGATGGCGATAAAATTAGTACTACCATCTTGAAACACTATCTTAACAAACTAAATATATTTGGGAATTTTGTAGCATTACTAAACCTGTATACTGTAAACTATAGGTTGCTTATAAATAAATTAATATATTTGTAATATCCCAATAATATTACAAATATATTAATTTATTTATAACAATTTACTAAATGCTCAATTTATTCGAAATTCTCAAGTCAAACGTTGGTAATGATACCTACAGGTTGCTTAGCTTAATATAAACTTGTATAGGGTTTGATAATAATCGCAACTACAGAAGTGTACATATATTTTGTGAGCATAATTGCTACTATACACTATCCAAAAATGTGTTTATTCTTCCGTTATTGATCTTCACGGCAAAATCTAATCCATCTTTGAATATCAACAAGGAGAAAACAAACCTTATCAGTAATAAATATCGCACTCGTTAAACAAGTTGGGAGTAATTTGGACTCTATGGCATAGTAAATGTGTTGGTATATAGGGTGATAGGTTTCAGTCGCAACACGAACACTAACACTGAGATTTAAGTGCAATCAGATGAACCCCTAATAATGGGAAACGCGTGTCTTGAATTCACTTCTGATCACAAACCAAAAATATAGTAATCGCTACCACGATATTATCTGAATACATATTGCTAACTTACGTTCAGGACTTTTTTCCAAAGTAGTATCCAGGCACGACGCATCTATACGATCATGTGAGGGCAACACCTCAATTTCAGAAACAGAATTTCTTAGACCAGTGGTATCGGAGGTAATCCCCTCCCCTGTGGGAATAGTGGGAGTAGTTCCAAGAGGTAAACAGAAGTAAACCAAACGATTTACAACATCTTCAGCAGTTTCTGACAAAAATTTATAATCGGACAATGGTAGTGTAGGACAAGCAGGAAGTCGAACTAATACCCGTTGAGGTAGCAACATACGAGGAACTTAAGGAAAAAAAAGTGGAAATAGACACTTATGAGTGTAAATATACACTAAGGAATATGTAATCAAAAGACAAATTATCGAAACATTTATAAATAAACAGAAATCCGAATCTACGCAGTAAGTCCAAAGAGAGATAAACAAGTAATATACCTTATATAGATTTTGATGGACAGAATTTAATAAATTAACATGAAAATGAAAATCCGGTCTAATAGAGTCTATAAAAATAAATTATAAGATTAAAAACTGATTTATTCAGCTGGGCGAAAGTCAAATCACACGTTCATATCTATATACACTGATTTAGATCAAGTATTAATCCCATTATTAAGCTTTCCAACAACTTGATCTCCTTTCCCAGTTTACATAAGTTGACTATGCATTGAAAGTCACCTAAAAGAGTAGATTAAATCAAGTTCTAGTGGCACTAACAAGCAATATGAAGAGATAAATTGTTAGAAACAGAGCTTAAATCATACTAGTTAAACGTTGAATTCTTATTATTTTGTAATTTAATAATCTAGAGCGAAAGTTGATATATTTAAAGGTAAGCAAAAACGTACTAGTAGCGCGTTTCAGTGGATGACAAAAATAACTAGTTTTCGTCATCTAAACGTTTTGATAATAGTAACTATGAGGTTATGGGGAAACTAGTGTTTCATATGTATTTTATCAAGAACTACAGTCAGAAAGTGAACTTTCTATTAGATTCATGGTGAATTAGGTCGAATCAAGCTGTTTACAATAATAGAACAAACGAGTTTATGTTAAACCACCCTTATTATTCTGCAACTATTTAGCTGAGTTACAGAATATTAGCTACGTGATGAAAAATCCATATTAGTACATATGTTATACAGGGATTTCTGGACTTGCAATGTTATTCAACTGCTTCAATACATGTCACGTTAAATACAGGTAGCGGTTATTTGACATCTGAAAATATAATTAACCACTTACGGCACGTTAACTCTTCTTGATCTACAAGATATCTAATCATGGATTAAAATTACATTAAAAACTTCAGTATTGTGCATGCCTCAAAGGGTGTTAAGTGTATGAGACAATACAGATATATAATGCGATTGAATGTATTTTTTTAGTGAATGAAAAACAAAATAAGACAGCTTTATTTTTCTACCAGCTTATCAGAATTCTCATGATGAGCAATAACATCTATCAAAATTAGTTACTTAGAGCAAAGAATAAGATAAATGAATAAATATGTGAATTTATTTTCAATTAAACACTGAAAAATAGATATTTAAAATCAAATGATAGCTTACCTTCCAGTTCAGCACTGGTAATGTGTAACTCTTCTGTTAAAAGTTGTAGTCGTGTTAGTATACTCCGTACAAGATCATTCCGTAATGCCTAAAAATTATCAACAACGTAGATTAAATGATTGTTAACAAATATCATCGAAATGTTACTTATTAGTAAGACTATTCGCATAGTGTTAAGATAAGAATGAAAAAGTTTACAAGTTATAAAAATATTACAGAAAGTTGATACAAAAATACACCGCCAATTTATCCATCAAGTAATAATTGCCAGTGTTTAACAAGTAACCTTAATTATTGTTTCAAAAATTTGGATTAGAACGATAAAATACTGCAAACACCATAACAGTAAAATGAGCCAACATATTAGCTCAGTTAAGTTACATTTTTTAATACTTTCCCTAGATTTGAGAGCTTAAACAAAATATCTCAGGTTTTTGAAATTTTAATTCAATCTTTACTTCACCTTAATAATCAAATACAAAATCATGTATTCATCTCTGAATAATATTGTTTTACGTGTGAAAGTAAACGATGCAACCCAAATACCTAGCCAAAATAAGTAGAATAGAATTTTAACATGGGTAGGAGCTAATTGTCAAAAGCTTTAACCACTTAGCTAGTATTTTAATATCTGTATACATATTTCGATATTAGGGGGCAAGAAATAATCAACATAAATTATTACACGTAGGTTTCGTATTGATCGAACCTTCAGTTTCCCGTGAACTGATACTTTCTGTATCTTTCTATGTCACAATAAACGATGTTATTATTGAACCATTTAGGTCATCTCTAACACAATGTCGTGAATAACAATCCTCAGGAAATAAGATATACTTTTTCTTAACTCACTAACGTTGACAGTATGCAAAAGTTATCTTGTATTAACTGACTTAACCTCCATTATACTACACTGAGAAATTCATTTCAATATCCTGATTTTAAAGAGTAATTCACTGTTTTTTTCTTTTGCTTTCTACAAAGGACTTAAGTTTCTTAGAAGTTAAATGAGCTACAAAATATGTAATTAACCCGTTAGTTGTTTTTAACGAATTTTCGTTAGTTGTCTAATATAGATTCCGCTAATAGTATTTACCAGTGAGTATAACTTACGATTGGTACAAGGTGCTATACCACTTGTATTATTTAATATCAGGTAAAATATTTTAAAACAAGGAACAGAAAATATGAAATGCACTCTGAAATCTTCGCTGAATTTCTGAATAAAAAGTTTTTGTTAGCGATTACTTTCCTGCATAAAAGAAACAAGTTTAAAGTGTAAGCAAAATGATATCCAAAAGAAATTAAATTGACCTTTTTAAATACATACTCGTAAAGTATATATTTTACGATAAAGGTTTAGTATTTAAAAAATGAATTAGGAAATATTAAAAATATATACATAAGAGATTAACTAACCTCGAGTAAGTCTCCAACACTTGAATTAGCTGGTAAAAACGCAATTCCAGGAATTCGGCCATTGATTAACAAGCGATTAATGGGAACGAAACTACCTGAAGAATCATTAGTATCATTTCCATTATTCATATTTGTATCCGAACTAGCACCAGATTCAAGTGACGATGACGAACTTGCACGCTGCCATTGAGGAAACTGCAAAGTGGAATCGGAGTGAAGAATCCAAAGGTCACAGGTTAATGTACCAATAAAAAGAAACCCAATTCAATACTAGTCAGTAATTTCCCATAACTCATCTATTAAGATAGTGTGAAAATTGAATTTTATTAGAAAATTTTGAACCGATTTGAGAAAACCGATACACTGGCGTATCAGTCATAAGAGTATATGATCACAATTAGAATCCCTTCTACCTGTTACATAAAATTTACGTGAAACGGTTTAGAACCAGCCGAAATGGCACAGATATATTCATTCTGCCTGAGTTTTAAAGTTATTATAGAATTTATTTCATGAATTCATTCCTCACAAGTTATATCGTTTATGCCTAAAAAATTTATACTACCGATACTGCTATTATTTCTACTGCTCTGTGATTCGTCTTGATAATTTCATCTCGCTGTGTCAATATTTTACTACAGCTAGAACCAATACATATTTATTTATTTATTTAGACACATAAACATTGGTATAAGGAGGCACCAAATATACATGTGCCACAAATAATTTGATTTGTATGAGGGCTGGAATGGTGCCTGCGTGTCCAAACCGAAGCAGAGGGATTTTTAGAAGACCACGCTCTGGGGTTTTCACCTAAGTTTAGTTTACAGGATACTGGAGAAACGTTAGGAGATATAGTCCCATGGTAGCTAGTGACCGACAAAAGGTTCATACGCCTTTTGTTCCCTTAGGACCCTGGAGCCCGCGTGCACCATTGGTTTGGAATCAGGGTTTTCCAACTCTGCTAGGTGGATTCTCCATATCCACCAATCAGGTTAAAGTGCCGGACATTCGCTCTTCGTTTTCAATTTCGTGAACAACACCCGCCGTCACGATAAGGCAGTGAGTAGGACTTCCCTGACAGTGGCTGTACATGCGTGGCTATATGAGAACATTTCGAAACGGAGAACTGACTCTCCCCACCCTCGGATGTACCAGGGCATTTGGGGGCATTCATACATACACGTGCATATGGCTGATAACTAAATAATATCATATTGAGATCGCCTTAAAAAACTTTAGGCTATTAAGCATAATAGCTTAGTCTCACGGCCCACTGAATGTGAAGTCAAGTCTACACTTGACAATAAACAATAAATGCTAAACTACTGTCAACCAATGCTGCTGATCATTGTTGAATAGGCGACTGAATTCCAACCATATCAAGACTCAAAGACAGTATTTTGGAGTTATAAAAAACTAATAAATATGAAAGATTTATGGAAATTACTTTTACAGTCGGTGATAATTCAGCGTAATCACATCTAATATGTGAAAGTAAACGGTACTTCTTACCTATTGAAAACTGAAAAGTGGAACGGATTTATTAAATATGAATCTACTGCCATAATTTAAATTACTTTATTACTCAACCACAATTATAAAGTCGTGTAAATCCCCAACAGGTCAAACAAAACAGAATTGGAAACGAAAATAACGACTCTTACATTGAGAAGTTAGAACATTTGAAAGACATCGAGAAACAATTGAAATAGATTTCAGATGCCTGAATTTACGTTGAATACGGATATTTATAACACCCCCAAAATTCATACATGAGTAATAAGGGGAGGAAGTATGGGTGATGAGAGTTTGCAGCAACGTTTGTACATATGGAAATTACTGAATGGACAACTATGAAGTAGATTATACGGTTCATTACACTGGCTTGCGTGACTAGGTAGTTAGATATATTGTGGTTCTTAGTGTGTTGTATACATCTATTGCTACTTGTTTAAATTCATGTTGTACTATACATAAGCTTGATGATTAAAATCCTAGAAATCAGGAAAATGCGCTAGTGCTCAAAATATGAGCAATATGCTAATATGCTACCATGTTTCATTTACCTTCAGCTTGATACTTTAGTATTAATCTAACCAATCAAGAAACACAGCACGTCAAACAAATAATTATAAATAATGAATCATTCATGATAAAAGAACAAGCTAAACTACTAAGTCGTTTTCCGGGAATGATAAGCTTGATATTACGGAGTAAAAGTAACAGAGAAAACTAACTTAAATCTTTGGCATCCATTCTGGAACCATATCTCTAGCTTATTTCCTATGCTAGATTTACGAGCGTATTTAGGTACATAGCTTAGTCAACCACATCAACCCTCAGACCTTGGGTTTGCTGCTATTAGTCTTACCGCTCTTCAACCGACCTGTCTGGCATGGTAGGACCTTGAGGAACGATTGTTCCAGCCAGTATAGCTCGACTGGTTCATCACGATAGGCAAGCCCGACCACCACGTCAATGTAGCAACAGTCGGGAACAGTAGACATACTTGAAGAATAGTGCTCGTTTTCGCTGCCATGATATCGGTACAACAAAACTTTACTGGCTTAATATCTTTGTACAGTAATTTCTTTAAATCCAGGTACTATCATGTAATTATTGAGTCATAAGACGCTTTAAGGTCATGCAGTCGTTAGTATGGGGTAATATTCTTGGTATATTGAACAAATAGGCATAGTAAAAAGCTTTGACCAACACATGCGGCAAGCCATTTACTAAGTGCAAATGCATGTGCTTCACATGTGAGAACTAGTGAAACTGTATGGTTGCTCAAACCGAAATAGGTGGAGGGGGTTGAACCTGTCACCCAGTGCTTGAAAGTTGAATGTATTAATCACTAGGTCACAGCTTCATTGATTAATATCACTCAAAGTATCCATTTTAGACAATTCATTGTAAACGCTCTTCAATTCAAGCATTTCCCCCACTAACGAAAGCTCTCACAATGGATCCTCCCTTCCGAGCAAAGTATACGTATGAAACCTGGCCCGAATAACCATGCTTCTATGCCAAGACCGGCTGATGAGTAATAATCCAATCAATTTACAACTTGGTTTCTATAACACACCTCATGTGAAAGTTCATTAAAATAGGGGCTTATTGTTTAGCCTTAATCAATAAATCAAAATGTCTCAGTTGAAGATTCGTTGCATTTATGTTGTTTTGGCTGCATGGTAACTCATTTCTTACTAAAATTTGATTCACAATACTCTAGTATATAGTGAAAAAAACTTCTAAACATAGGCTATTGTCAGATATATGAAGCGGTATGAAAGTCACTAACCTGTGGTCCGAAAATTACTATATCAAGTGGGGTAAAAGCTGGACTAACGGACCCCTTGGCAATCGCATATTTCTTACTCCCCGCCGAAGTAACTAAGGAGTGATCTACATTAAGAGGTAAATCATAACGCTTTGACTTGGACGATTTTTTGTTCTTTTTGGTTTGGATGTCAGCATCAAGGGGTACAGAAAAATCTATATCTTTTAGTAATTTTTCATCAGCTTGATGCAATTCGCCATTGATCAGCAACTGTGTTTCGGTAACCAAGGATTGAAGGTAAGGTTCGACAGCAGCCTGAAAATTTAACGGAAATTTTGACCACTTGAAAGCGATGGTGAAATGGCAGGTTACTTTGATTGTACTTGCTTTATATACATTATACATTTAAAAAGTACGAAAATACTAGTATTACTAGTAATTTTACACTTCCTGAATGAATTAACAAGCACTTTTATTTACAGAAATCTGTCAACAAAAGTGAACAAACAAGTACATTACGCATTTTTGAATTTAAAGTAAATGGTTCACATTTACAACAACAATAATACAGTCTACTTATCATACATTCGCACTTTACTGAGGTGTATATCCATTATAGAAAATGTAGTAAAGGGACTTTGCTCTCCTAGTTAAATAGACGTTAACAGAAAAGAAACTGGTACAAGTATACGTCAGTTTGACTTTTCGATCTCATAATCGTAACAGAAGAAAAAGTGAAGGACCAAAAGCAATGGCAACCGAAGTAGTCGAAAACTAAAACGAATATACGGCAAAACTAATTAGACGCAAGGAGTTATAAGTTCTAGACTCACGAGGAAATAAAACATCACTCTATTTACACAATTGAATCTGAAAAGAGTAAGCTTTGTATGAATGTATGGATATGATACTCATCACGAAATGGACTTGTTTGGTGCACTTTAATAGCAATGTTTGCTATGAGACCGCCTTTAGATGAATGGCTAGAATGACAGTTGGAGATGGATAAATAAAACATTAATCTAGAATCCGGTGATAAGGGTACTATCAAAAAACTAACGGTTCGAACTAAAGTCGGAATAGTTTTCCTAGGTCCAATAACTACGGAAGACAAGATCTCGAAACTTACACTAACCAATTTGGTTCTTCTATTTTCATAGGACATTTTGTCATAAGCTGAGATGATTGACAATCTAAATCAGTTACGCTCAAGTCGAATTCCAAAATTCTAGCTTATTCAAAAGGTCAACTAACAATCAGTCAGTTACATGCAACGCGAAATCTGGCACACATGACTAAGGATTGTTAGTAATTACCACTAAACACCTCGGAACTAATTTATCGCAACCCAACTAATTTTCATTTGAGACTGATTAAAACCTCAACAATGATTGGAAGCTTGGTGATGACCTTTATTTCTGACTGTTGGCGAAGACAATGTAGTTGAAGATAGGATATAGACTAGTTGAACTGCTTCTTAACATACTTCGCACACCACGCTAGACGCAGTGGTAGTGGCTTAATACAAGTCATGGAAGATATGGATGTCTACTTATCTACCCCATTCACGTCCATCGATATTCCTGAACCACTATGTGATGGAAAAAATCAACGGTTTCTCCTTCGTTTTTGATTTTTTTTTAAATTGCTATAGATGACGTTACACACTGTTGTTTCTAAACTAGCCACTTGTCTTACCGTTTATGGAGCAAACTTGTAGACTACACAATAATGCTGTGGTGACAATGTAAAGCAATATTAAGTTCATCGGATATACACATACTTAAAAGTTAAATATATGAAAGAGTGAATGAGGGCATAACAGTAGTAAACCTTAATCAGAAGTCCAACTACACACTTGAGCATACCTACGTTAAAAATAATTGTGAATACCTGAAGCTGATACAAGATTTTCTCTTTTTTCCGATCAGATGGTAAGTGAGTCTCCAAAGACAGTAGTATATGTGTTTTGAATGATACCCATCGATCAATGAATGGGCGAATCTTTACTTCCACTGTTCGAAATTGACTCTACTGAATAGAATAATATCATATAAAACATACATTAGATCCATCTGCAGCAGAAGCCTTGCATTGAAATCTTAAGGAAAAATATAAATTGCAAACGAACATACTTTTTTGTTTTGGGGTCAGCCACCAACACTAATTTTTCTGTACTTTTTGGACAAATAAACCTGTTCATGGGTGTGTCATCCCGCGATATATGAGAGAGAATCTGACAGTTAGTTAAGAGCTTATTACTTTCTGAATGTGATTAGTATGACCGTTGAATTCGCCATAAGGGACAGTCAGACAAATCCCACTTATGTGAACACCCCCTGGAATCATCCGCGCAAGATTTCTACAATGTGACGCAATCCATTTTTCGCTTAAATCCTCAATCATACGGGGCGAAACAGATCGATGGGATGGATCGACTGAAGTGTCATCTTTTGGAATGTCAATGGGTAAGAACAAGCACTCCTGGGAACCAAACCGCTACTAAATGAGGAATAAATAAAACGAACTCACTCCGCCTATCATTACTCCACAATGGAACTCATCTACAGAGAGCAAACGATCTGCAAAACTATTATCAAACAAAACCTCTGAGATCATCCTTGGTGTCTTATCAACTCGTAAATGGCGGGCTGAGCTCCAACACCAGAAGACAGAGTAAGCCAACTACACTATTGTCTATCTGCATTCAAGCGTAGTAAATTTTTAAAGTAGATGTTCATCAAATAATGGTAGTATCCGGACAATTGTCTTGCCTTCCTGACAATCATGAACCAACGATTTTGCTATATAGGTACCTAGGTAAAAGAAAGAACATTGGAGTTAAGGTTATTCAGCACTATATTACACTTCGGATAGATAAGGATTTATAATGTCCATGTTTTCAATACTTTGGTTATGTGTGAGTGTGACAGTCCTCGAACAATGGGTTGTGGAGATAATTAACCTGAACCTATTTTGTTTCTTTATAATTCGCACTTTTTTTAGTTTCACATGGTTTGTACAGTTGTTATTATTGATTGTAAAATATTTGTTCGCATTTCATACTGATCATACGTCATTGTTTCGTTCTCTGCTAGCTTGACACTGGTTTTCATTCATAAATATACTGCTGCACACACACTTCTCGTCCTCAGCTGATGCGATAACAAACCTCTGATATAGTTTCTATTTACATCCACAGATCACAACGATATCGACATTGTGTGATTGTACCGGATACATATTAAATTTCATTATACCTACCATATTTGCAGTTACTGACTCCGCATAATTGTGGATTACGGGATCAAAATTTGAGTACACTGGCTACTGATAATTTATGCAATTTTCCATATATTCTGTGTTTTATTTGTGCATATAATCAACTGTCTTTATGCTTTTTGCAGTAACCCTATCATCTCCCCTCGTTCCTCTTCTAGGGTTTCTGTCACTCCCAAGCCCGGATAAAGAATGAGGGTTGGGCGTGGGGTCAGCAACCCCACCTCGTAGAAAAAAACATTGCAGACCAACCCTAACTAAAAAATAATTTGAACCACTCAAACTCTGCTCTCTGAGTCGAAGGATCTTTATTCAGAAGAACTATGACTCTTCATGGTGAAAGCCGAGGTTCTTCGGAAGCCACAAAGCCGTTGCCCCTTCTAACAACCAGAACATGAAAACCCTAGGTATGTGGAATCGACAGTACTGGATATAAAAACATCACGGAACGACATGAACCGAATGGAAGAAAGGGACGAGAATGACGGGAGATTCGCAAACACATTAATAAAACTACATATGTCTCACCGGATCACACTATAGAAAATCAGATAGATCATATCTGTATCATGGCAAAATTCAGAGGGTCAGTGGAAGATGTGAGAACCAAGAGAGTAGCTTCCACAGCTTCAGATCACCACCTGGTGGTTGTCAAGATGAGTTCAAGCTAAAGAAGCACTAAACAACTGGACAAACAGCGCTACAAATGCTCAATACAGACTTCCTTCGAGTTACTGACAAACACAACTCCGCCTAGAGTCCCTCCGTTGGCCGGTCACTATTAGCACAACCTTCTGTGGGAAAGAACAAACCAGGTCCTAGCGGAGGAAGAAATCAGGAAGAAGCGCTGGAAGTGGATAGGACACACATTATGGAAAGCACTTAACTGCGTCAAAAAACAAGCCCTCACATGGAATCCTCAAGGCCAAAGGAAACGGGGAAGACCAAAGAACACATTACGCCGGGAAATGGAAATAGACATGAGAAAAATGAACAAGAATTGGGTGGAACTAGAAAAGAATGCCCAGGACAGAGTGGGTTGGAGAATGCTGGTCGGCGGCCTATGCTCCATTGGGAGTAACAGGCGTAAGTAAGTACTGACAAACACATCGAATCCAAGGTAACTGTCAACAACAGGTTGCAAGTCTTACAGGATCTACGGGAAGAAGAAACCATTGTGACGCGTCAATGGAAAGAGGTAAAATAAGCACTAACTTCAATATACTAAAGGGTGCCAAGTCTCAAGTATGGTTATCTATCTAAACACTGAACAGGATTCAAGAAAGGAAGAACAAGAAGACAGTGGTTGACAACAGTCGAACAATAGTAGAGAAGGTCGAATCAGAGATCGGACGCAAAAGATAAACAAGAACGTGGAAAGAAACATTAGGGCCGACAATCAGAGACTCGTGGAAGACCTAGTAATGACAGTGAAAAATGTCGCAAGTTAAGAAAACATGAGGTTAATACGTACTACAACGAAAAAACTATCTAAAGAATGAAGTAAATGGTGCGATCAGTCGAGAAAAAAGGTGATACAGTTTATGAAATTCAAGAACAGAGGAACAGGTGGGTAAAACACTGAAGAATTCTTAAGTAGATCAGGCTCACTGAACAAGCCGGACATTGAAGTAGACCCTAAACACCTAGCAATAGGTGTTACTTTAACTCTCAAAGAAATCAGCAAGGCCATCAGACAAAAGTGAGAAAGGAGAAAAAACTGGCAACATACCAACTGGAGCACCAGCGTCAGACAAGAAGTAACTGTAGAGATGCTCTGCTTTCTATTGAGATGTGCCTGAGAAAATCATCAACATCGTACGGAATTCATATGACGGACTACAATGAAAATTCGTGCATAGAGGTCAGCTGACAGATGCACTCTAAACTAGCACCGGAGACAAACTCCTTTCTATTTCTTCAGGTGGTTGGCTGGATTATGCGGGTCTAGACATCTGAGGGAAAGCACTGAACTCAATGGACAGTTCGGAATCAATTAGAAGATTCGAATTTCACAGATGACCTGCCCTTCTAACCTATACACACGATCAGACGCAGATGAAGACAACTAATGTAGCAGCAGACTCTGAATCAGTAGGCCTCAACATACATAAGGAAAAAATAAAGATCTTCAAATACAATACAGAGAACACCAACTCAATCACACTTGATGGAGAATCTCCGGGAAAGGTGGGAGCTTTCATTTACCTGGGAAGCATCATCTATGAACAAAGAGAACCAGATACAATAGTAAAGGCGGGGATCGGTAAAGCAAAGGCAACATTCATGCAGTTGAAAAACAAATAGAACTCGAAACAACTGTCAATTATTATTGAAGTGAGAATCTTCAATACAAACGTCAAGACAGTTCTACTGTATGGAGCTCAAACTTTGAGAACCACTACAACCATCATCAAAACGGTACAGGTATTCACAAACAATTGTGTTTCGTGTCTGTAGGTAACCCTCGTTCTACTGATATAAGAAACTAGATTAGTAGCCAACAGGTTCTTATTTAGCTCGTGGGACATCACAATGTAGCGGGAGGTTACCTGTTCAAACACAAAGCTTTTCAACATTAATTGAAAGACAACAGAAACCATAATGTCTATACGAAGCAAGGAAGTGAATGAATACTTGGATGGAGAATGCTGGTGAGCGGTCTACGCTCCTCCACGAGGGATGATAGGCGTAAGTAAGTAACATGCGATCCTTCACACGGATACTCAATCCAGTAGTTTCCTTTTACCCGATGAGTCGTACACTTGGTTGCGATAGAGTTCCAAGACCAGGATGACGAGTATAGATGGAAAGGACCCAAACTAAATGGAGTAAAATGAACAGCTCGATTAGTTGGATGAATGTGTCGTTGAAGTAAATCTGTCGATGATATGTGCATGAATTCTAGTTCTAATTAGCTTCCAACTAGTTGCAACTACCCAGTTAAAGGCACCAGTTCAACCAACAAATCAGTAATTTAAGGTGAAATGTTGTTTCTATCCTGTCGTGTTGTTAACGTAGCAAGTAAACTTTAAAGTGCATAAAAACAAGTAAACAAACAACCAATAATAGGTTGAACAGTGCGTGATATTATTATTATTATTATTATTCACAAACATCTTATGGGTACATAAGTGTTGTGAAGAAACCATTTCGGGTTTCTTCAGAAAATGCAATAATACACAATTTTCAATAATTTTAGCATTATACTTGCCATATTTAAAAAATAAAAAATAAATTAGAATAATAATAGTAGAATATTAATAATAATAAATCGGGTCTGTGTAATTGAGAAGAATATTGAATTGAGTTTAAAGAAGGAAATGGAGAAAATAAGGGAATAGAAATAAAGGAGACGTGAAATAAGCAAACAGTCTAATAGGCGTGTTTATGAACAGAGAAGAAGAAAAAACGACCATGTGCGTATCGTTGAATTAGTAACAAAAAATAATTTATCGTTGTAGTAAGATATGATAATAGAATAAATGTTTGTGCGGTTATAGTTATATGTTAATGTTTGAATATACCTCAAGACATGCGGAAGTATGACCAATAAATATGAAGTCGTTTCATCCCGTTTATGTTTGTATTTGCTGCCTATTCCAAGCGAGAAAGCGGAATCTATGATTTTGTGTATCATTATCCGGCTAGCTTTTAGTAAAACTGAATGAGCATCCCAGAAACTATTGATCTATTGCATAAAAAATTGGATTCCCCCTGACAGTGTGTTATTTGATGGGTATGCAATTCAGTATTATAACATTTATCTTTGCTATAGTAATAATAGATCAAATCGAAAAATTTTTGACTCGTCTTGATGTAACTGTTTAACCCGTAAATTGTTATGTGGAAGTCACAGCATAAACTACACTGACGCATTCTACTGCAATAATCGGCAATGTAACGTCTAGAACTTCTGAAGGACACATTTGATCTGGGAACAGATCGGTATGTTTGATACAAAAACAAGAGGTTAAAAAAGGTAACCTCGTCTGCATAGCTGATCAATTCCATTTCGATTCCTTTGTTCCTGTGTTCACCATCTCTGGCCTTATATCTGCGTTCACTACTAAATGCAGATTTTCTCAATTATAGTATGTTCAGCTTCTTGATAACCGATACTACTACAATTAAGTCTGGATATACAGTGGTAGGCTTCAAAAGAAACTACTTCAACTCATGTTGTAAAAATAAATTGGGTATAAGTTTCCACAAAATCACCGTTTCTGAAGGTTATTTACCACTAAGGTTTTTAATATGACCGAGTCGTCTTGGGCAAATTCAACATTCAATGACCCAACAAGGATAATCCCAACAAACTATATTCCTTTCTCTCAGCTACATGATAACGTGGATGCACCAGCTGAGTGAAATTAGTTCAGACTTGAAGGTCTATCATAATAATTCAGGGAGGTCTGCTAGCTGGTTATTTTTATTTATGCTTCAACTTTGCCGGAAAGTGTTAGTCTACTGCATGTTACTTGAGACCCACTTCCTTGTGGTTGAAGAACATTCTCGGCTATAAGGTACGGTCCTCGTTAATTTCCTTCTGAAAACCGAGAAGAAA